TATACAAGCTGATTCTCTGTTGTGAGACTAGATAGAACAGCATTTACACAATGTTGAAGAGAATTGTACAGCACCAACAACCCATATGTGCAGCACTAATGGTGTTGGATATACCAGAGTCAGAGTTAGAAATGAGTAATGTGGAAAGCAGATTGAAATGTATACTTTGTCTTAGTTCTTATAATTAGAAATAAATTATATATATATTAATTTTTATGTTGTGTTATTTTGTGTATGTGTTATGTTTGTAACACCAGATACAACACTTAAGACCTCAATATTGTTGTGAACTTGCTTATAAACATGTTAAACAATGTTGAATTATCTGGAATAATGGGTCTGAAACAGTGTACACAGTATTCTTGTGGGTAGTTACTGATACATGAATATATATTTTACCTCTCTGAATTTTAAACAAGGAAGTTGCCCTGCATGTATGACACATTTTTATGTTCAAAGTTTAGGATTTAAAAAGTAACAATTCTTAATTATTGTGCCTGAAATCTGAAGATGGGGTTTTCCTCTGGCTTTTACCACTTGATAAAATTGTTGAGTCACAAATTATGATGTGAATTTTATATGTTAATTCTAAATATATTTAAACAGTTTTAAGTCAAAAATATTTTAGAATTAAATTTGTGATTTTCTGACACTTTTTTTAATATAATTCATGATGAAAAAATATATTTTCAATTCTACACAGCTGCAGATAACAATAGGAAACAACAACAAAACATTTTTTCTCTGCTACTTCAACTGTTTTGATTAATGATGCTGATTCTGAAAATAATGTTGAAAATTATTGATCACCTCTAGTTTTTGAGTTATGATATTTATTGAAAATTACATAGAGTTCATATCATGAGTCTATGAAAACATAAATTATACCAACCTGATTTTCATTCTGCAGATATGTATGTGGTAATTATGCTCATTTACCACTAAGTAAGTCAAACCTATTGTACTATTATCTATAGTTTAATGTTACATAAATTATACCAACCTGCTTTTGATTCTCCAAGTACTCTTATGGCTTACTTTGTTTAGCAAGTTGTACAATGCAAACATGTTTTCTTGATTTGTTTTCAAACAAAGAAAACTAGCTTTCCACCTTCAGACTACACTGTCAAGAGCATTTTGCTCTATCCTTTTGTTATCGAGCATGTTGTATTCAGAACATACTGAATTATTTCCTTTGAGACTGACTTCAGAATTGTTTCTGGCTTTTCTGTATTTGTCACATTGCAAAACAAATATTTATGTGGTCAAGTCTATCATTTGTTTTAACATTATGCTTGGCCATCTAGTTCTGTTGTTTGTTAAATTCAGCAATATATATTAAAATAAGTTGTTGATAACTGACATTAAGTACATAGTCATGCTGAATTGTACTCCAGTTTGCTTTCAGTCATTTAACATTGACAAAACAGCAATGAGGCTGCCTTGTATTTTCACAATTAAATCAGATGAAAGATCCTTGTATTAACAGTTCAAATCATTTAGCTTTTTCAGAACACAAATTGTTGATCTTGTCATTTGGTACTGAGGAAATGTTTTATAAATCCACTGCCGTTATCACCCTGTGCTTCTTCCCTATGAGTATCAGATGAGCTGGTGTCACTCTCTTCATCACCAGTCAATTCTGTGGAGCTTCTCTTTCATCAAATATATTTGTTTCTGTTGTCTGATGCGAGTCTTTGTCAATGTGTATTTGTAGACCTGACGTTTGAAAATGATAATCATTAATTTTGAATACATTGTATTCTAAGAAAATCATGGATTATTGGTTATAGACTTCATTATGATTTATTTTCACAAATCAGTTGATTAAAGTTAATATTTGTAAAAACCGTGATGTGATATGTATTTATTATTACATAACAGGAAGTAGAATTCTGGCATAGGTGTTCTACCATATATGTATGTAATTAACTTGGAAATAACTAATAAAAAAAAAATATTATTCTGATTTATTTTTTTTCTATCAAATCTAGATTGATCTTGATGTGTTGTATGTTTCTAAAGTGTTCTTTTGAGTATATTCAATCTATTATCTATGTTTTTCAGGGTCATGTATTTCTCAGTAAAGAGTCAGACAATGACAGTGCCCATTGTTGAATTCTCCCTTAGTTTATCCTCAACAAAATGAATTCCAACACATCACAGTCCATAATTATACATACCCAGCTAATAATTAACCAATTGATAAGTAATAAATTAGAAAATAATTTTAAATTCACTTTTTAAATAAAACCACTTTTGGATGCAGTCATTTTGATACATACAATGTCAGCAAGAGACCCCATGTAGATCTTAAAATATATATATATATATATAGTTTAATGTACATAAGTTATACCAACCTGCTTTTCATTCTGCAGATAATCTGTATGTGGTAATTATGCTGATTTACCACTAAGTAAGTGAAACCTATTGTACTATTATCTATAGTTTAATGTTGCATAAATTATACCAACCTGCTTTTCATTCTGCAGATAATCTGTATGTGGTAATTATGCTCATTTACCACTAAGTAAGTCAAACCTATTGTACTATTATCTATAGTTTAATGTTGCATAAATTATACCAACCTGATTTTTATTCTGCAGATATGTATGTGGTAATTATGCTCATTTACCATCAAATAAGTCAAATCTATTATACTAATATCTATAATTTAATTTTACACAAAAATCAGAGAATTTATTGGATGAGACGTTTGGATAATTTACTAAACTTCAATGAAATTACCTCTTATATTTCTTTTCTCAAGAGGAAATAAGAGAGATTAACCAATCACTGTAAAATAACCACTCCATTCTTGGAATCATCCTAATATGCTTCTTCTGAAACCTTTCTAATAAGTGAGTATCTTTTCTTAGATAAGGAGATCAAGACTGAACACGTCCCAAATAAGGCACGAGACTGTATGTAAATATACCATGTTCTTAAAATAGCTTCTTATCCAATAGGAAAATTCAGTTTCCACTTTTAGCAAAGAGCATTTGTATGTTATTTTCACTTACTATTTTAAGATTTCACACAATGTCATTGGACGTAAATATTCTAATAAACTATTGACTATCACACCATAACTAGGATAGAGATATGGCTAGCTTTGAGTAGATTGTATGAGTCTGTTCTACACAAAAATTAGATGTGTTACAAAAGAATTTGTACCCAGGATGTGCGTGTGTGCAAATTGATGATATCACTATGTCTGAGAAGTTAAGAGTTCTAGGTGATGTTCATACAAAGAATAAAAAATTTTTCAATTGCATAGTTTGTGTATTTTATTTGCATAGTCTCTAGAACCTCTGAAATTCATATCTACAGTTGTTTCATTGTTCCTGTATGTGGAATTTATGCTCCTTTACCACTGAATGTGCAGTATTCTGATGATTTTAAGATAAGACAACACAAGTTAACAATAAAGAAAACAGGCTAGGCTAGGTGTTGGCAACATTTTCCTATTGGGTTCCACTTATCAATATACAAAACTTGAGACCCTCTGCACATGTCACCATTGTTTTTTAGATTTAGGTTACAATATTATAATTTTATGATATGTATAATATGATTACTTAGTTAGAAGTTCCTAATAATGTTTAAATATGGTATATAAACAATGCAATATAGTAGTAGTTGTAAATTAATTTTTTTTCCAAAAGAATTAAGCTTTTTGCCTTTTTTTTTTCTTCTGTGAATTAGCATGCCCCACAAAATCTTTGTGTGTGTCACAGGATGGCCCACATGCCTTGGCTAGGCCCATGTTAAGACAGTTTAATTTTTATAAAAGCTTGAATGACTTAAGGAATGAACTGCTACCAGCAGTAGTTAACATGAACACTCTACAGAAGTTTAAAAGAAAACTGAGTAATTTCCTGAAATATAAAAAGTTGTTCTGAATTTTAAATTTTTCCAAAAGTGGGTGTGCGAGGACAGCCTTAAAAGGACCAAATGGTCTCTTGTCCAAAAGCTATGTTATGCTAAATTGTGTGTGTGTAAAAGAGAGAGAGGATGTTATATATACATAATTATATGCAGTTTTTCCTTATCTGTCACCAGCAAATAGATTGTTTCTGCTATTTTGCCTATTCACTATACTGTGATTAGTCAATGAGTATGGTCTCATAGATACAGCAAGTAGCAGGAGATACTTCAACTTGGCATCTCTCTTCGTATGCTTCAATTTACGTGTATACAATGTATTTTCTTCTTTAGAAGTTCAATAAGTGATCCATACAACTTAAGATAAAAGCAAAAAATATATATACATGAAATTCAAAACAGGAGTCAAACCTCTGCATTAAGGCCAAAACAATAAATCAAAGCTCTACATCAAAACCATAAACAATTGTCAAGTCTACTTTATATATAATAAATACCAGGTTAAAAAATACATTTACTAATAAACACTTTACCCCAGGATGTGTGGGTATCACTTTTACATTTCATCTTATATGCAATTTCAGAAGTCACAATACATACACATTACACTTACTGTGTACATATATTAGAACATATATTAATAATAATAGTGGAAGTACTTGAATTATCTGCAATGGTTAAATTAAAAATTAACCACTTTAAAGCTTATGTAATAAAACCATTACTGCTCTTTCCAAACAATACTTAGTTTGTATTGACAGCTCACTACTGCTTTATTACAAAAAACATATACTACCATGTTTCACGTTCCTCACTTAAAAAACTAAACACACCTATCATTTTACCTAGTCCTACAGTTTTACACTCATGCTAAGGTAAAGGCTTTTTTTTTTTTACTGTACTTTAGCATCTGTAATGTTAATTCTAATTTGGTGTAGTTTAACCAAATTTGACATGAAACCAAAACGTAAAATTATAATTCGAATTTATATTTACGTGGCTTTATTAACAAATGTGTGTGTATTACTAATAATTAATATACTATTTAATAATGATATTACAATAAACATTTTATTAGGCCTAACTTTTAAGCCTAATAAACTACCAACCTAGCATCTTCAAATTCTACGAAAGCAAATGGGGGACCTCGCCTGTTCTTTAAATCAATGAAATTTATTTTTCCAAATTTGTAAAACAAGTCTTCTATATCTTTGCTTCGAATGTCAGGAGGAAGGTTACCAACGTAGATTCTGCTATCGTTATTACGGTACGACATTTTGAATATTTTAGAAAAATCTAAACAAGTTAAAGCTTAACAAAATTCTTAACCGTAACACACTCGCTGTCTTTGCTAATCGTTTTCACATTCACGAGAAATTGCCAGACTTTTACTGCGTCTTCCGATTACTTCCGAAGTAGCACAAGTAAATCCGAATGTGAAGAATTGTGGGTTGATAGAAGATTGTTAAGAGAAACGTTTTCAGCAAATGATGGTACGAAGCGTCAATTTCATAGCCAATCAAAATTTTCAATTTTGACTGCAAAACAAGCGGCAGATCAATGGAAAGACGTTCGTTAAGCGTGGTAACATAGGTATCTGTCACGTGTGGGAAACTTCAGTAAGACTGTAACACAGTATTTGCACTGGATACATTCTGTGGCTCGAGCGTACAACTTACAACAGCTATTTCTTAACTTTTAGTTTACACAGGTAGGTTCGGTTTAACTTATATTTATATGTAACCCAAGTACAGATCGCTAACTTTGAGTTAATTGCTTTTTAAATTAATATTTTACACTCATACTTACTACTTGCGTTAATTTTGATTTTTCTTAAAGTTAATTTAACTAAGTTAATTTAATTTAAATTGGAGGCCTCATATTAGTTACTATTACTATTGGTTGTTGTCTCCTTTATGCACAAGTTCTCTTTCATTTAGCGCTGAAAATACAATTTAACTTTTCTAGCTTAATTTTTCATCTTCAGCATTCCACTGTTGTACGTACAGTAGAACCCGCGAAGTATAATAATGTACTAATAGTAATAATAATAATAATACTCAGTAACAGTGATAATATTATTATCAATAATAACTTAGTGCACACTGTGTCATTGTCCTTCTTGTAAACATCAAACTGTGGACGCGATATCACCTATGTAGCACTGGGAACAGGTATATTTCTACAAAATAAATAGTGTTACGTCTCCGTTTGTTAATTAACTTTCCGTAACTTCGTTCCGACGAAACTTTAGCGACACAAGTTCTTTACTTAATAAAACTGGTTTATTCTTTCCGAATACAACTTTACGATACACTTA